GATGCCTGGTCCCGCAAATCTTTGGCTATTCCTCAGACCACACCTGATTTATTCATATAGAAACACCAGTCTTCTCCCAGGAATACACACAGCCCACCTCTCTCAGCGGTTAAGAGGTCTATGGCACGCCGGTTTTGTAAAACCACTGCGGCCAAGGAATCTGTTTGATCTTGGACCTCTGCCAAGGTGCCAGCAATTTGATTTAGGCTTTCTTGGAATTCCTCTGACAGCTGCCTAAACTGTGTGATGGAGTGTGTTATTCCACTCACACTTGTTCCAACTGCTGTCCCTATTCCCACGATTGCTAACAGTGGGAGTAAGAGCAGCACCCTTTTCTGAACATGTCCCATTAGAGGAACAGGGAGAGCCTGTTCCCCGCTTACCACATCCATTTTGGGGAGGAGGTGTATCAGGGTACATGTTCCAGTCCAGTTGGAAGGTAAGGATAGATATGCATCTTTTTCACATAAGAAGACGACTCCATTTTCTCCTACACACACACCTATGTTTATGGAGAAGGCATGGGCTTGGAGGTTCCTTTCATTAGTCCAGTCCTGTAAGGTTCCTGCCAGGAACATACCAGTTAGGGGTTGTAATGGAGCTTCTTGGTTAAGGTCCTCTTGCTTATCCCTGAGGACTGGACCTTCAAAAAGATAGTGGAAACTGGTGTTTCCAGGGGGAAATGAACACAAAATCCTGTGGTGGATTGAATCGAGAGCCAAATGGGGAATCGGGGTGGCTGAAATGGCCTTGGGCATCTTCCAGTAGTCAAATTCCCCTCCCAACGGTTAAAAACGAAGGGGACGGAAGCGAGAAAGTGACCTTCTGTTGGAAGAGGTTGTGAGCAGATGGAGACATACTGCGGGTTAATTTTATGCCCACAAGTGTCTTTCTAGGGGCAAGGTACATTTCAGATGGGCATTGTTCTTCTGACAGTGACCCCACAGGAATGCCAGGTTCCTGATANCTTCAACGACCCTCTAAAAGGATGCAAAGGACCAGCTGCCTGCAAGGAATATAAATCCTTCCCTTCCTCACCATCCAGTCAGAACTGAAGAAGCTTCTTGGATGGGGAGTGAAATGTCTTCAAAGAAAAAAAACAAGAAAGTCCAGTTGCTCCTGAAAAAAAGCACTTTTGGGATAATCTTGACCTGGGTGATTGAGAATCTCTACAGACTTCCACCACTGGAGGTTTTTAAGAGGAGATTGGACAACCATTTGGCTGAAATGGCATAGCGTCTCCTGGGTGAGCAGGGGGTTGGACTGGAAGACCTTCCAAGGTCCCTTCCAATACTGTTATGCTGTTATTCCATAGCAATGTATTTTTCTTCAGTAGCATTAGCCTTGTGCATGAAACAGAGTAGCCTTTGCAGGCAAACACACACACACACACGTGCACAAACCCACATAGACACCCTTTGCACTACCAGCCTGCTAGCAAAATGAAGCCAAATGCTATTCTGTTGCAGAAAATAACAGGGCTTAAAGACGGTTTCAGGATCAAGGCGAAGTTTATTGGCAGCCAGGATCAGAAAATCCAGTCAAAGGCCAGCATGTAACTTCTGAACAACTCTTCTCGTGGAAGCGCGCATTCTTATACTTTGTCAAAAGCAGTGCAACGCAGAAATACTTAACCCATTTCTGATTGGTTATCTTGAGGGACAGAAGCCTTATAAGCAGATACTGTCTTGCTTCCCCTTTTGTCTTGGGCCATGGATAGGGAGCTCTAGTATCATAATGGCTACGTGGCTTTGTAAGAACTTTAGCTGAACTCCATGGTTTTGGGCTTTTGACCTTTCCTATTTTTGTTACATGTCTTAAAAGCACGTCTCACTTTTATATTTTAATTTACTTTTTATCCTGCCTTATCCCCCCCTTCTAGACTCTATTTTTAGCTACAATTGAGTCTAGCCTATTACACAGCTTTTGATCGGCAACACAAGCATATAATACAGAATAATGATATATAGCGGAGAAAAAGGAAAAAGACAAGTAATACATATGGAATAACTTTTACAGCTTATCCTCTGGAGGCACCCTCTCCAATCCCGAGGGTTGAACATATGTGCCTGTGTCTGAAATCTCATCCTTATCACAGGGATGTGGGGCAATCCTACGGTCAATAAAGCTTTCCATCAAAACTAATTCCTTTTCAACCTGTATTTCCTTTACTGACAACTAGTTGTCTGAGTAGGGGTATCACGCAAGGGGTTCACCGAGAAATATGCGCTCGACAAAAGCACGCTGCCGAAACCGCGGTGAGAAAATTGTGAGGTCGAAATCGCCCCAGTGCGCACAGAAGCGCGCCAACCAGTGGTGGGTTTCAAAAATTGTTCGAACTTAATCTGTGGGTGTGGCCTCCTCTGTGGGAGTGGCTTGCTGCCCATGTGACCGGATATAAAGATGCCGATGACACTTGTCAGAACCACCTTAAATTACCTCACACACAGTACTGGCCTGCATAAGAATATGATGTAAACTTGTTTTTTAAAAGGCATCTTTGGTTTGC